ACACTGAATAGTCTTTGCAGCATTGCTAAGTACTTCAGCCTTTCGGCTCCGAGCATCTAATTCAGCTCTTAAGGAAAACTTTTGTTTTTCCTGTTAGAATATAGCTTACTGTTACCTGTAATATTCTTTTGTTTTTATCTACCCAATATCTGTTATACACGTGGCATAAGCAACTTGTATTATTCTATATATATCACGACGTATACCCATGTAAAGATTAAGCAAGTAATAACAATTCATTTCTTGTTTCTCTCTGCGTCTCTTCTCCGTTCCTTCATCCAGTTCTTGTTTTTCATCATGGTATCAGAATAAGGTTCGATTCATCAATCCTCTGCCATGGCGTCTCAAAGTTCTTCATCTTCCCACACCGCAGCTAGCTCTGGCATCGTACCCAACGCTCCGGTTATTTCTCCCTCCCTGAAATTTCTCATCTCTAACCTAAAATTCCTTGTTCCACATTCTTTAACGCCGGACAACTACTCACTCTGGAGTAATCAAATCAACAAAGTCTTTAAGGCAAATGGCTTTGCTGCTTTTCTTGAGCCAAAACCTGAAGCATCCTCGACGACGACACCGACCAGCAGCGAAAATGTTAACGCCACTCAAGATTCAGATCAATGGTCCGTTCTTGATCAAAATTTGGCAGCGGCATTATGCTCTACCATCTCCCCGTCGGTACTCCCCTACGTCATCAACCTTGAATCCACGAACGACATCTGGACAGCCCTGCAAGTTCGCTTTCAATCTTCAAATAGATCGAAAGTCATTCAGCTCAAGAATGAGCTACACAATGTGTCTATGAAAAATCTTTCTATGTCTCAATACCTTACCGAGATCAAGAAGATCGTCGACCATATCGCCGCTGCAGGCTCTAATGTAGATTCGGAGGATATAATCATCTATATTCTCAATGGACTCCCACCCTCATATCTTCCTTTCAAGGCATCCATTCGCACAATGCAAACATCGCTGACACTCGACAATCTGTATGCGCTTCTTATTAGCGAGGAGATTCATCTTCAAACAGAAGCTCTGAAGTTTCCTCCGGCGGCAGATCCTCAAATTGCCCTGTACACGTCTAATTATCGCGGGCGCAGAGGTCGCACAAAACCGCCTCCTGACAGAACTCAAGCAAACCGCACCGCGACATCCTCCACGGTGACATGCCAAATTTGCAAGAAGAAAGGGCACTCCGCAGAAGCTTGTTGGCATCGCATGAACCCAAACTACGTCCCGTCTCAACCTTCCAACAAGAACAATCAAGCTCTTTACGTCAACTCCGACAACACCACATCAGTCGACTGGTACCTCGACTCAGGCGCCTCCACGCATATGACCAATTCAGCCGACAACATCACTACGCCAAATGTATATAACGGTACTGATCAGGTCACTGTCGGGGATGGAAGAAAGGTTCCCATTGCTCACTCGGGCACGGGACTACTTCCAACCCCCTCCCGTAAGCTATTTCTTTCCCAAATCCTCCACACCCCATCTATATCTCAAAACTTACTTTCTGTTTCTAACCTTGTTAGAGATAACGATATCTCAATTGTGTTTGATTCCACTGGTTTTGTTTTCAAGGATATGAAGAGCAAACGAATCCTTCTCAAAGGACCCTGTAAAAACGGCTTATACCCGCTGGCAGGTTTTACTCAGTCGGACACACACAGAGGTCTCACGGCAGTTTCTCAATCCAACTCCCGCTGGCATGAGAGGATCGGCCACCCCAGCAACCATATCTTGCAGCACATTTCCAAGAAGAATCCCGATTTACGCATTTCCTTTTCTTCTAACTGTACTTCTTGCAAACTCTGTAAAGCACACAAACTAAAATTTCAAGATTCTAGTAATCGTAAAAACTACCCTTTAGAACTCATACACTCCGATGTATGGGGACCGTCCCCGGTTCCCTCCCATCAGGGATTTAGATATTACATAATATTCGTGGACGACTATTCTCGTTTTACTTGGTTCTTCCCTTTAATGTTTAAATCTGATGCTACTCACGTTTTCATGAATTTTGTTAATTTTATTGAGCGTCAAACCAATCGCAAGATCAAAGTCCTTCGTACGGACGGTGGCGGAGAATATATCAATCAGCAGTTCCAGCAATTTACTCGGGCTAAGGGTATACTTCACCAAACATCATGCCCATACACGCCGGAGCAAAACGGGCTTGCCGAACGCAAGCATCGTCACATCATGGAGACCACCAGAACATTGCTACAAACGGCGCATATGCCTTCCGTTTTTTGGCTTGAAGCAGCTCACACGGCAACATATCTTATTAACAGAACTCCCTCTGTCACAACCAACTACATTTCACCTCTACAATTAATGTTTAATACTACTCCCTCATATGCTCATCTTAAAGTTTTTGGCAGTGAATGTTTTCCTTTAAGCCCTCCGCACAACCGCACCAAATTATCTCCCACATCCACGCCTTGTGTATTCATAGGCTATTCGGACAACCAAAAGGGATACAGATGTTTCAACCGTTCGACAAATCGTGTAATCACGTCCAGACATGTCCAATTCAACGAGTCATCTTTTCCATACATGCAAACTATGCCACCCAACGACACGGTCAATCCCATATCCAACCCGTCGCTGCTAATACCAGTCTCCACGCTCCAACACGAAACCACCGCTCAACCTTCTCCTAATCAGGCTAATTCTATACCTCCAGATATCACTATTACATCAGCACCTGCTACTAATCCTGACCATTTTATTGTTCCCAGCTCTCCATTACAGCTCACAAAGGACATTCCCAAGCATCCAATGCTCACCCGTAAGCAAACCGGTCATCTCAAGCCGTGCCAGAGGTTCAATTTGCTTCACCAGATAACTGCTACAAATTCTCTACCCCCAGATCCTACTACTTTCACAGAGGCCTACAAATCGGAGAACTGGCGAAAAGCTATGGCTGACGAATTTTATGCCTTACAAAAACAAGGCACCTGGCAACTAGTTCCCCCTCCTCCTAATGCTCAAGTACTTGGATCCAAATGGACTTATCGCACAAAGCTGAATTCCGATGGTTCCATCGCAAGATTTAAAGCGAGACTTGTTGCGCAAGGTAACCGGCAAGAATATGGATTGGACTACCTTGATACGTTCAGCCCGGTCGCAAAACTACCCACAATCCGGATACTGTTCGCCATAGCACTTTTCCACAAATGGCCCGTTCAACAATTAGATGTCACCAACGCTTTTCTACACGGTGACCTGTCCGAGCGCGTCTACATGCGTCAACCCAAAGGATTCGAAGACGCAACTCTACCTCAGCATGTATGTCTTCTCCGCAAAGCAATATACGGACTAAAACAGGCATCAAGACAATGGTACACCACCTTCACTACTTATCTCATCAGCCTCGGTTTCAAACACAGCCAAGCCGATCAATCGTTACTCACGCTGCATCAAGGCGACACTCGGCTATACCTTCTAGTCTACGTAGACGATATTTTGCTTACCGGAAACAGCCCCACTGCTATATCCGAACTACTACACAAGTTACAACTCAAGTTCACAATGAAAGACATGGGCCCAGCCAGCCACTTCCTCGGGATCACGATTCAAACCCATCCAGATAAGTATCATTTATCTCAAAGTTCCTACGCCGCCTCAATTCTCAAATTAGCCGATCTCACTTTGTGTAATCCACTTGCTAACCCATCTTGCACCAAAATTCCGCATCAGACATCAGACGAACATCCATGCTTCGATCAAAATACATACAGAAGGATCATCGGCTCCCTGCAATACTTGACACTCACTCGGCCGGACATTGCTTTTTCCGTCAACATGCTTTCGCAACATATGCATGATCCGGCAGCTATCCACACCTCCCTCTTAAAACGCCTATTACGCTACATCAAAGGCTCGATCGATCTCGGCTTACCTATCACGAGATCAAATCTCCTCCTCCGCACCTTCTCGGATCCCGACTGGGCGGCTGATCCAGTTTCCAGGAAGTCCATTTCAGGTTTTTGCACTTTTCTCGGCGACACTATCATTTCTTGGACCGTCAAGAAACAAACCACTGTCTCTCGGTCTTCCACGGAGTCCGAATACAGAGCGCTCGCTGCTGCCACCGCCGACACCATATGGATAAAACGACTTCTCTCAGATTTTTCGATCCCGCATCAACAACCGATCGACATCTTTTGTGACAACAACTCCGCAATAGCACTGGCTAACAACCCAGTTTTCCACGCGAGAACAAAACACATAGAAATCGACCAACGATTTGTCCGGGATCACATTCAGAACAATACAATTCGGCTATTACCAATCAATACCATTGATCAAATAGCCGACATATTTACTAAACCGCTCTCCACCACACGATTTCAAGCCCTGTGATCCAAACTGAATATTCTCTCCAAACATCAGTTTGAGGGGGACTGTTAGAATATAGCTTACTGTTACCTGTAATATTCTTTTGTTTTTATCTACCCAATATCTGTTATACACGTGGCATAAGCAACTTGTATTATTCTATATATATCACGACGTATACCCATGTAAAGATTAAGCAAGTAATAACAATTCATTTCTTGTTTCTCTCTGCGTCTCTTCTCCGTTCCTTCATCCAGTTCTTGTTTTTCATCATACAGATCCCCCGACTGTTTTAAGAAACTCAGCATCACCGTCAACGGGCTCAGCCCCGGCCCGACCATCACCGCCACACAGGGCGACACACTCATCATTCAGGTCACCAACTCCTTAATCACTGAGAACACCGCCATCCACTGGCACGGAATTCGCCAGGTAATTAACTAATTAAACCTTAATCTCAACCACTAATTAACACTTTAATATATTGTTATATCATACCAAGCTCATGATATAGTTTCTTTGCAGTTTCTGCAATTCAGTTAATCAAAATGTTTATCTGGTCAGAGATAGGAAAACGGCAACTTAGATGAATACAAAAGTCTTTAACTGTTCTAATGATTTGTATTAATAATCTTTTTTCTCTATGGCCATTAATGAAGCGTGGCACTCCTTGGAGCGATGGCACTCAGGGAATAACGCAGTGTCCAATCCTTCCTGGGGAAACTTTTACATATCAATTTGTTGTAACATTGAACTGATGAAGCAAGATGATTCCTTTTTTGTTCATTCTGAAAGATCAAATACAACAAAATTACTGATGAATACAATATATGATCAACATGAAAATTTAATGAATTTTTGAAAAATAAATTGACAAAATTCCTTTTTAGCTATACATTTTTAAAATATCACAAATGGTATCAATCAATATGTCTCATAAGTTTATCATTTTTCAAAACAAAATTTCCAACTATAAAAGATAAAATATATCCTTAATATCAAATCCATAAAACTTACTTGATATGAACCAATATCATTCATAAGCCTCCCAATTGCACAAAAAGATTTGATGATCTCAGGAGGGCTGATAACCCAGTCAAAAATATCCTTTGAGATAAATTCCTTCATTCCAACATATGAAGCACACGTGATAAATATGCACCCAGAAGTAATAAATGTTACTTTAACATATTCCTCAAGCTTAGGAATATAGCACTCGCTCGTCCATTTGGTTTCTTGAAGGTACGCATGAGCCATTCGCTTCAACTGGAATTCAAAAGAATAATCAAAACAAAGGCAACAAGATATCGATTATTGAATAATGATGTTAATCTTATTGGTTTAATTATATAATCAAACTAGAAACAAAACTAATTTTAAAATATTAAATATTGAAACATATGTACTTTCAATAATATATGGATATATAACCACAATTAATTTATTACCTCATCTCTAACGTAATGAACTCGAATAGAATTGTGCTCATGAGCTAACTCATCCTCGATTTCCTTGAAGGTATTGTAAATCGCAAGGAAGCATCGTTGCATATATTCTGGCAACGTTCTAACTTTTTCAAGATCCCAGCTGTAATTATTTATTAAATCAATAATTTTTTAGCTTAGAAATCTGGCAAATTAATTAGTAGATTATGATGTTGGTTTGTCTTCTAATTTCTCTTTACCTTTCTATTGCATTGGTGAATAACTCGAGCTCTTCTAGTGTCCCATAAATATCATATATATCATCCATTGTCACAACAAGGGCCATCAACTTTGTCATAATAACTCTAGCATGTGAATAGCAGTGTTCACAGTAAGTTATAAGCATCCAGAAGTAGGATTCTACTATTCGATCACGTACAAATGGTAAGTCTTTGAGCAAGCCTAACTCTTTCCACCACCTGAAAACCACATGAATTAAAAATTTTTAAGGGATATATATAAGTAAAAAATGTAACAAAAAAAAAAAGAAGAATATAAACTTACTCTGATATGATTCCAAGCTCCTCTTGATAAGTAGCTTGCAATATATTGAAATCAAATTTAGCAAAATCAAGTAGTTTTTGATTGCACAATTTGTACTTGTCATAAATTTCTATGTAATTTCTAGCCTTGAGCCGATCAGGTGTTCTGACCAATGGCAATTCCAAAGCACTTGTCACCATCAAAGCAAAAGATGGCTCCATCTTGCAGATCAATGACTTCAAGTGAAACCTTGAAAAAATTTTAGCTTTCTCTAGTATTTCTTCATCAGGAAATCCAAGATAAGCAGATTCATATAAGCTTAGTAAAGCTTTCACATTGTTGCATAAGCAAGCCATGAAATCTCCTTTATCATCCAAAAACCTATTGAATACATCTGCAATATGTTTAAAGATAAAATATTTATGTTTACTTTAATTGTATCTTTTGATTTTATAGACGTTATGATGTTATGTACGTACCAGAACTTATGTTATATCTTTGCTGTCGTAATAGTCGAAAACGAAGTGCAACTACATATAGATCATCATCAATGATGTTGATCTTATGAACTCTACGTAATATGTCGTTGATTTCCTTCTCAAAATGATATGCCACTCCAAGACGTTGAATTGAATCAATCAGCTCAAGTGATTTTAATGGATCAGTAGCATTTATAAGAATTTTCTTCATCTCTGCTCTGAGCTCTTCATTCTTCTCTTTTTGCTCTGTCTATATTATTTTGCTCGAAAATAGTAAGTATTACTTGAAATGATAGTCATAGCTAGAAGATTAGTTAGTCTATAAGAAGTTGGAAGAATCAAAATAAAGTCAACCAAAACTATTTATAATTTAGTTAATTACTATTTCTTTATAGTTTTCAAAATATTATTAACATTAGAACAACTCCTTTTAAGAGGTGAAGAAATTTCTCAAAATTATTTCTACCTAAATATCCAAAAACAACTAACCGTTGTTATTATCTCTCCATAAGGAAAAATTATTATGTCCGGTGTCCGAACTCGCCAACTTAATTAGAAGCGCCTCGTTGACGTGGCGCATTCAAATTGATCTCCGGACGCGTTCGGACACCGCACAGAATAATCTCTCCTCCACCGGCCATTGATGCTCTATTGCTACTATTGCATAAATTAACATATTTAATAAAAAATAAAAAATAAAAGTAATTTCAAATTACCCCTTAACTACAGAAATAAATTTATAAAAGCTGAAGAGAATAACATATCCTCCTTTGAAGAGGATATATAGTACTGATTATTACCAGACTGGTATTTGATTGTAATGGTGAATAGTTGATGAAATAATCTCCCCAAACAGTTGGGTGAAAATCTGCAGATTGGCGAGAAGTTGTCAGAGGTACAGGAAGAGCCTCCATTAAAGTCACTCTACTTAGAAAGGTAGAGATGCTTAGAGAAGCTAATTTTTATGGCTAAATGTATTGATGGTGTGAACAATTTATAATAGCAAGGGCGAGATGGAGCGATGGAAAGGCCAAAATTTAAGAAATAAAAGGACAGATATTTTCATTAAATGCAGACCAAAATTATTTGTTTATTCTCCACGACAATAATTGATGGTAGATCCAAGCAATAAACACGAAATAAACATGAAGTATTATCCTATTAAAATAAGATAGTTTTTATGACTTTAGCTCTCATCAATATTTTTTAATGACCTTCCAATGCCACAACGTAGGAAAATTTGACTCTAAGGCTTGCTCGGGATGGCTTTCTTATTGCTTCTTAAAGCTATTTTTTAGTACAAAAATTAAAATTTTTAATACTAAAAAATTGCTTTAAGAAGTGGTTTGAAAGTTGACCCCATATTTTAGAACAAAATAAAATAAAATAGCGTATAATTTCATGAAATAAATCAGTAAAAAAACAACCCTCAAATGCATATAAAGTGTCCATTTATGCACGTGATTAAGATTTTTAAGAAATAATTAAGAAAGTAATTAAGAAAGTATCAATGAACTTCGATAACATTAGTTTGTTTAGACTTTTGGATGTTTAAGAATATTGATTAGTATGAGATTCCCACACTTAACAAACAACATTAAACAATTATATGCGCTAACAATTTAATATTACACATGCATGCAGCAATAGAAGTTACGAGTTAAATGTGTGACAATTAATTATGCTTTCTATTTTGAAAATGACAATACATCACTAAATTATTAGATTCAATTATCAATTATTTATGATGTAATACATTATTTCAATGACAATTTTTTTTTTTGTAAAATAAAAAAATAAATTTTATTTTATAAATCTAAAATTATATAGTATTTCAACTTTTTGGCATCTAAAATAAACTACTGAAAAGTTGATACATATATGATCAATGTATTAAAAAAAATTACAATAAAACCCACAATCAGTGCTGACTAAATTTTGGTGTATGAGTACTGTTTAAGGCCAGAGGAGCTTATGCATGGTCCAATTTATGATGTTTTTCATGTTGCGTAATCAACGATGTTTTTGGTATTGAGAGGCTATTGAGAAAGGGCTGAATTGTGTTCTGTTGCGGCTTGAAAAAAATTAAAACTTTATAATAAGGGTTATTTGTAATATGCCTCTCACCTCTCCACCTAAATTTTATTTCCTGCCCCCAGCCGACCTTTTTTCACGCAATTTACCCCTCAAAAAATCGGAAAGTCTCTTGGCCTCCCGTTATTTTCTTCCGATTATAATGAATTTTTCTAACACTAACAAACAAGTCTGTGAAAAATTATTATGTGCCAAATAAATTATTTTTGCAACCTTATATATATTGTTATTTTTCTAACAGTAACAAACAAATATGTGAAACTGAAGCTGATTCCGCTCCTGTTCTTGAGCATGATTCCTTATCCTGATTTGAGTAGTTGCATGTGAATCTAACACAATAAGGTACCAAATACTCTTCGGGGGGGCCGAGTGGTCGACTGAAGAAATTCCTCCCAACTTATTCGGATTCAAATCCCCTAACTGTCCGTAAAAAAAAAAAAAATTTTTTCCCGAGTAACTCCGAAAATGTTTCTAGATTTTAATTGCAGCCAGCTCCTTCGTCTTGTACGTTTTCATACAATTTTTGAGCCAATCTCCCTACAACCATGCTGAAATGATAACAACAATATTATCACTAAAATCAAATTTTAGGTAAGATAGCATTAAAAAAACTCATTTCTTCATAATGACTGCACTGGAATGCTAGCCTTCCTTGTTGCAACAAACCGTTTATGAGTTATGTGCGTTGTTCGTATTTGACACTGAATAGTCTTTGCAGCATTGCTAAGTACTTCAGCCCTTCGGCTCCGAGCATCTAATTCAGCCATCTGACTAGCTCTAAGGAAAATTTTTGTTTTTCTTATCTAGAAAGACAGGTGTTGACTCATACGCGCAAAAACACATGAAAAAAAGGTCAAAACGGCGATTTAAGCAACCCGCCTGTCACCATGATAAGTTACTTGAAGGGCTAAACGACTTCCAACTGTCAAACGAACTGCACTATTACAATTAGGATGTTAAATTCGCCTAAGAGGGGACCCCTCGTAGTTAAATCGGAAAAGATCAGTTTAAAGGGACGATCGACACCTAAAATTTACGCGCAACATCACCCAAACGACATCCAATAGCAAAACGGATTTCGCCGTTGCATCCGTAATATCATCAATACCTAAGAATGACCATCAATTTGTTCAATCAAGATCACAAGCAAAATAGGCACATATCTGGAGACAATGACACAAATTTGAATAAACTGACATGTGATGTTGCCCAAAAGAAGTCCGTCTGAAGGCAAAACAAACTTTTCATTGTGTTCGGAACATCGACAACACCTAAAATACACTATAACTTTGCCCAACGAAGTTCTCGCAAGAAAATAGGCATGTTTCCCAAGACAAAAAATGCACGGGCTTCGAGAAAATGCGCTGATTAGAGCACAGAATCATATTCTTCCATTCAGATCCTGAAATGGTAATAAAAATAGGCATACAAGCTCCTATGGACAATCGTAGGAGGCTCATCATGTACACAAAGTGCTATATACGAGAAAATATAGAAGACCTTCAACAAATGCAAGTTCCTACGAGCCGCCGAGGAGACTTGTTAGTGCACGATAGTTTAACTATATAAAACAATGAGCAAATGACCATAGCGCAATGCCACGCATCGGATCCGCAACATGTATACAAGCGAACATAAGGGGTCTACCAATTCCAATGCACAACTTATTAGCAAATAAACACAGTGCAACGCCATGCCACTGAATTCTAATATTCATATAAGCGAACAAAAGGCATTCATAAGCTGCCACACCACGTTACCAGATCCGCAACATTCATACAAGCGGTCATAAGACGTTTACAGGCTTCTACATAGAGCATTGTGCACACCTAAATGCTGATCATTCGCACATTTAATCAACGCCAAATATTTTAAAATGCCCTCACACATGCACTAGAGCATGTATACATACAAATATGAAAGAATGCACGCATGTACATTAATCCATATACATGTAAGAATATACACTCGTATGGACCCCTATGAGCATGATGCATGTACACACGTAATGCTTGAGGATGTTGTGCGGGCCAATAAATAAACTTAAGTTCAAGCCCAATTCTCCTATGCTAAAGGATAGGAGTTGACACAATTTGAATAATTGGACAAATATTTAGTCACGGCGTTAGCTGAAATATTTATTTTAATATGTTCATATTAGACTTTCAAGGTCTATAACAAGAAAAATCACTATTAATTGCACAAGGCCGTCAACGGACCCGATCCTCTATCAGCAATTAGATATAGTTGATAATGTTCAACAGATAATTACAAAAATGCCCCCAAATACTTGCATGGGCCCTGACGAGCATATTGTATTTACACACGTGATGTCTGAGGATGTTGCGCGGGTCAAGAAATGAACTTAATTTCAAGTTCAATCTTTCTCCTTGATAGGAAGAGAGTCGACACTGTTGACGAGTTTGAGCGAAGAGAAGAGAAGAAAACAGAGCGAGAAGACGCAGAAGGGAGAAGGAAAATAGACTTTCTATTAATCTTTGAAAGTAACTATTACTGAGTTTAAATAGACAATTTATATTTAAAGAAGGTATAGTACATAAACGGTAATATGCATAACCAATGGAATGAAGCCACGTGTCGGATGGCTTAACAACCCCCCTCAAACTTATGGATCCGTGAGTGCTGTAAGTTTGTTTGAGAGAGTTTTGAATCTAGCGTTGGGTAGAGATTTTGTAAACAGATCAGCGATCTGGTCTTCGGTACAAATATGGTGAACCGAAATTTGCTTTGTCTTGATGCAGTCCCGGATAAAGTGACAGTCCACCTCTATGTGTTTTGTTCGAGCATGGAAAATAGGATTGTTTGCTAGAGAAATGGCTGACGTATTATCGCAGAATATTGTTGTTGGTTCGTTTTGTGGTATATGAAAATCATTTAAGAGCTGACGCAGCCAAATGATTTCGGACGCTTCGGATGCAAGGGCCCTGTATTCTGCTTCGGTGGAGGAGCAGGCTGTGGTAGCTTGTTTCTTGACTTGCCAAGAGATGATTGAATTGCCCAAAAAATTGCAATACCCGGAGATGGATTTGCGATCTTAAATGTTGCTTGCCCAATCTGCATCCGCATAGCCTGTTAGTGTTAAATGAGTTCGGTTGA